CTGACATACGACAATATATTATTTACTCGATAAAATAAAGTCACTTTAAGATAAAATCACTCTAAGATAAAGAATTTTCCCGCTCAAATTTTAATAAGCGATATAAAATTCTGATCTGACATATATCGCTTCGGAATTGACATAAATTCCGATCTGACATACAACAATAAATATTTTAATAACATAATATACAATATATTAATATCGTCCCTATTATAACTATGCTATGGTGTACACGAATTACTATTTCCTCTAATACTAAATGAACACCCAACCTCTAAATGCACACAATGGTCCGGTCCAAACGGTGTAGTTTTATCTGTAATATCTATGAAAATTTATGAAAACCAATTGTGCAGATTTTGTTACTTATTCTTTCTTACAATGTTTGATTAAATAAACTTTGCACTTTTTCTTTTAAAAGGACAACTAATTAGTTTCAAAAAACGCAAACTTATTGTAACTCACATAGTAATAGAAAATATGTGCAATAAAGCTCGTTGAAAAAATTTCTTCTATAAGTTTGTTAACTAGTCAGCAAAAATCGGGAATACTTTCGCCAAGTAAGTGAGCGTTGACAATCTAGTTTAAAATTAATAATTTACCGAAACATAAATGGGACAAATTTATACAAATATGTATATAGCGTATTTTACATGTGAATTTTATAAACTTTATTTCTATTATATTAATGTTTTAGATAAGTTGGTCAAAGACTCCAATTATAATGAGAATAATAGGAACTCCTTACAGCAGCGCGCAACAGATAGAGAATCGATGACTACGATAGAAATGGCTGATAAAATTACGTCTACAATATCTCGCTCAAGTAACAGTAACAGTGCAATAGCAAGAGCTCGATGGAAAAAATCTGTGGTGATGGGATTCTCAACATATACCATGATTTTCCCGTCAAATTTGTTGCAATAACATAAATAATAAAAGGGAGCAGTCAATAGTCAAATTAATAAACAATGTCAACAGTACACAAACCGTAATTTTAATAACTTTTATTAGTCAACATGCGAATCATAAAAGAAATTCTGAAACATAACATATAATAGAATAAATAATAATAAAAAAAACAATTCATAGTTAAATTAATAAACAATGTCAACAATACATAAAAACTTAAGCTTTGTACATTTTGTTATAGTTAGTCAACATAATAATCATTCCTAGCACTAAAAGAAATTCTGGAATAACATTATTGAGACATACAAATTAAAGACATGAATAGCATTGCTTCAACAGATGCAAATTGATATAAATTTCTATTAAGTCAATATTTTGAAACAGAAAACACTTCCCAGTCAGCCCACTCAAAGCAATTTGATGAATACCGTATTGGAAGTTGGTATTCAGATTTTGTAGCAGAAGGCATGACTGTTTCACCATCTCCAAAATGTAAATCAAACATTGATGCTACTACAAAAATTCCAGACCCATCCCCAAAAACAGGAAACCGATCCTTATTATCCCAAATGGCACGTTGAGCATTAACAACAAAACTTACTATATTCTTCTCTAAACTATGTTTACTTAATGCAAATACAAAACTTTCTTCAGTGACAATACCATATTTTTCTTTGAGACCCCATGAAATTGGATTGTATCCACCAAGTATTTCTTCAGTACCTGATACTTTCCCAATGGCAATTGTAGGTCCTTTGTTATTACACAATTCCCTAAATTTTGCCACTGAATTACCATCTCTACTCCGTCTATAAAGTAGATTAAACTTGTAAACGTGGTTTTTCGGCTTCCTAGATCTCCCTTTACTTTCTTGAAGTCGCTTTGTTGATTCCACAATCTTTGATGAGATCCATTCTGCTTGTAGTTCATTAATTATGAGTGAATCAATACACCTCTCCACTGGTAGTTGTGTGTTGGGTTTATAGTTTCCTTCAGCATGATAATTCATTATATCACGGCGCAATTTCCTTGGCAACAAGTCATCATATAGGGTGATGGATTTGAGAGAAATGTTAAAAAACCTTATGTGAGGAATACAGTCAGCTATGGCATTTTTAATATTGTTAATATCATTATATGACCAATTATCTGGATCGTTCTCAAGACCAGGAGATTGTTTAACGGCCCACTCTACAACTGACGTCCAGATATCATCATCATTCATATCAAGGGGATTCTTGAGAAGGGTTATCAAAGTTTCTTTGGGTAAGCATGCAATATTACTTGATTTGAAAATCATGTCTGGGTGTGAAGCCATGATTTGATTGCAGTAGGGCAGTAGGCTTTTCGAGAAACCTGCGGATACAGCATACTTGTGAACTGTAAGGATATTTTGCTGAATCCATTCCGACTGCGTATTGGTCAAATATTTTTCAATTTCTACAATAAGATCATACAGTCGAAACTTGTTGGCTCCATTCAGAAGGCTAATCCAGTTGATATTCCTGAATGAATCAAGGGATATTCGCCCAGTGTAGATAAACCTGTATATGCACATAACGATTATGTTGGTATAAGCAAGGACAGCATGCATGTTGGGACATACGCATCCCTCTAAGGAACTGTCATTGATGATGCGCTTCACTTTTTATAATATAGGACGTTACCTAAGCAAGACTTCAAAAACGTCAGGAGCCACATCTTCAAACATTATGGCTTTCTTTTGAATGCTTTCAGATGCATCCGTTAGACTCTTCTCAAGAAAAGGGCTCCTTGCACATAGTACCGAAGCGTGAGCGAAAAAGAATTTACCGTTTGGCTCTTTTCCAACATAAATTGAAACATCCGTATATTTGCCATTTTCATAAAGTTTTTCAAAATCAGACGAAAGACCAGAGGGCAAATCAACAATATTATTCATTTTGTAAAGGTTGAAAGAAAACAGCTCAGTAGTTACGGTGCCACTTTTTATTAACGTGGGACACGGGTATGTTCATTTGAGAACAGCTCGGCTCGCTAGTTACGGACCACTTATTAACGTAGCACACGGGTACGCTTATTTCGTAAATTAACGAACAATTAGAACAATGCCGTACCACTCTTATTAAGATTAAGGTAGCACATGGGTACGCCCATTTCTTCGTAAACTCTCTGCTGATGTTTTGTGAAACAAACAACAGTATCAACCTCTTTGTCTCCTCGGTTAATAGATATCCTTCCCCATCTCCGAAACAAACAACTGGCCATGTTACAATTTCGTCTCGCAACATATATCTAACAACACTCTTCACTTGGAATATTCTTTTTGGACCATTGGCCATGGACCGCAGCGCTCACTCGTCGTATTCTTGGTTCTTGCACTTGTTGGTTTGTTTGGTTTTTGTAAAACGTGACACCTGGTGAAAAGTAAACAGAGTTGACCTTCCTACATTCCCGCTAAAAGTAAAAAGGAATTTGTACAAGTACTTGTCATGGTAAAGATATCTATTTGTCTTTACAAAAGTTCTTTGGCATTTTTCCGGTTAACAAACAGTCTGTTCATGTATTTGTCTACGTAGTCGTGTTGTAATCGCTCGTTTTCACGGGTACCACTAATAAAAGCAACTACTTTAGACTTTTCCCCAAAAAACACTTATTTGCTTTCAAAGCAGAATGGAAATAACGTTAGAATAGTTTGCAGCATATTTCAAGATCAAATACGTATTCTAATACGTTGATAATTAGGTTTTTGTAATCAAGAGTTGAGTAGTCTATAAAAGAGATGTTGATCGAACCCAAGCATAGTCCGATCCCCGTTTAGGAAATTATAGAATCCGATCCTATAGTCACTTTAGGAATGCAGTCCTCAAAACGTCACATAACTATAGCTCTACACAGTGGGTGTGATATCATTTCTGATTGAGCTATAATAGTCTGTATGATTGTTTTCATATACAATTTTATTAAAAAATTTGACAGTTTCGGCTTTTCGCTGACATATTTCCTACTTATACTATTGTTCGTTACGTAAACGTAAGATAAGGCTTTTTCAGTCGAAGCTAAATCACACATACTAATACCACGTCGAATTTTTATTATACAGTACATTAATGCCGGTCAAATTTTTATCGCAAAAATTAACGCATCCGGTCGAATAAATGATCGAGTGATTATCCGTTGCTTTTTCCGCTGAAAAATCCGGATTATTATCGCAGTTATTTAGGTTAAATTTCAGGTATTATAATTTAGATTGTCTAACTAATAATAAATGTTCACGGGCTGATGCTAAAATTTGGCATCACAAGATTGGAAATATTCATACTACTACTGCTACCGACGACGGAACCTTGTTAGTCTCTAATTCAAGACCATAACATAAAGAGAATTACACATTGATATCATAAAGCATCAACTTGACAACCATCAATTTACTATATAAAAATTATGAACATTCTAACAAACATTATAGGCTCAAAACAACATCTTTTTTTTGACATATCTGCTTGAACGTGGAAGTCCTTCATTATCCAGCAATTTAAACTCGTTAGACGACAAAGAAATTGAAATTGCCACAAATTATTAACTGATATTCAAACTGTCCTCACTATTTACATTTATCGATACTTACCATATTAATATACAGTATTAGTATATAGAACAATGCCATGAAGACAGGAGGATTTGCTTTGCTGCCAAGAAGATGTTTCTGACGTACCCACAGTGTGCTATGGAGAAGGAAGATGTCTTAAAGGAGCTACTGTTGAAGGTTGTATTGCCAACAGTCGAACTAATAGCATAAAAAAGTACATCATCAGTCAAAACTCCATGCTGAGTAACAAAGCAAAATGAAGATTATTATTATAGTAAAACTTTTTCTCAGGTTGATATTTCAGTAACCATTCTCTTACAACTGCCACAGAAATTCCCTGATTATGTCCAGACATAGATATATTGACTTGGTGATACTGAACCATATTAATATCTTCCGTTAGTGCCAACAGGCATAGCTGCTCAAATATTGGTGGTAAAAACAATACGCACTGAACTGAAATCACATCAACTGGCAATACTAACACTAATACTTCTCTCTTGCTCAACTTATATACACCCTACCTATTACTATTCTGTTAGCACTAATACACATTCTTAAACCTCACATGCTAATGTGCATACAATCAATATATAATCCCCTCTCCTTAATATGTTCCACTTCCCTCAGCACCGCCGCGCGCAACTGGCCAAGGACAGTATAATTATTATGCTGCAAAGGCAAGCATACTTGAATTCTAACGATACAGAAGCCAGTATTACTATAAAGCATACATACTGTAGTTCTCTACACAAAACTGAATTGATCTCAATCAATCATTCTGAAGATAATGTCGTTAGAAGGAATATCACTACAATATGCTCGATGCAAGTTTCTTCATTTTTTCAACGACTAGATGCACTTATACCGTACGCTGTACTTAATTCCTATATCTTAATATTAAGTGTTATTAACGTTAAATAACAATTTATCAGCCGCAAGTAGAAAGCCCACAAACAAGCCCTACTCATCCTGCACCACCATACAAACATGTGATATAGTCGAGTAGACACCAACCGAAAAAAGAACAAAACAACCACCTATTCTTCAAGCTCGAACATCACAACATTCGGAAAAGAGCCCTGTGTCACCAATCGAGCTTATCGAAGTCGGACGGTCGCATCTCTACTCAAGAACTAAACTGTGTCGCGGTTATTTCTGTCCAGTAATATTGAGGTGCAATAACTGTGGGCTCGTAAAAATCACACCTCAACACAAGAAATAAACAAAACAAACTGCAGACAAGACTGCTCCTACAAGTGATGTCTCTACTGACACTGAGAGAGGAAATAATATTTAAGTATTCGTAAAACAAAAATCAATTCAGTGTTTTGCTTTTTTCTTATTGTAACAAGAATTAGTCATATCAATAAAATAAATTCCATAGTACCTTTTGTATAGGAAGGTACGTGAATTCCCAGCATATTAACGTTGTTCGTCTGCAAATGTAATAAGTTTCAAATAATATATGCAATCTCTTCATCCACCGTCTGATTGACTTATTCTCAAATAATATGTAACGGGTTGCATTAGCCGATGATAATTTTTTACTTTTATATTCGCTATTAGTATGGATCGGTTACTCCATGTCCATGATCTTTCTCCAGCTTACCAGGCTTTCCCAACGGTATCTAGCCGTCATTCTTTACGGTTTCATTAATGCCGATCGGTCTCTTAGCTTATAAGACAACATTGATTTAACTTCTTCTAATAACTTGTGTGTTTTACTATAATAATTTTTGCAAAACAGTATTTCGCATTTTGCGCATTTCGGTGACTTTTAATAAGCTTTTTAAATTAGTTATTTTTTGACCGCTTTAATCAAAGCCAGACTTTCGAAATTATGAATTAAACACATATAATAACACTAGAAACGTTATGTGCCAATTCTGGTAAATTTATGAAATCGACAAAAAATTTTTTTTCGATTTTCAATAAACGATGGAAAAGGTTTTAAGTTTTCGTAGAAGTCCAAGAATTAAGTTGCTTTCGCTCATGCTTTTCACGCTCTTGCTAGGTAGATAACAATATTTGTACTTATAAAAATGTATAGGACGCAATTAATGATTTTGAGACCGCGCCGCATGTACTAAACCCCGCTTCTAAACGTTTCTCTATGGCATCTGATTGTTTATATTCATATTATTGTACTCAATTCAAAATATAAACACTTCCTTTATTCTTCCAAATGTTTCCAATGTTTCTATTGCATACAATTATATTATTGTTTAAAACAGTTATGGGCACATGACTGCTTATCATTACTCACACATCAATATGCGGTCATCTTTTCAACACAACACAACACAACAACACGCAAATCCGCGTCCGCTCACACATACATATACACACACCCTCTCCTTTTCTTGAAAGCACAAGTTCCAACGCGACCAAAGTTTAATATTAACAACCCACAGCCAACAAACAGTCATCAGCCGTCACTCCAAGCCAGCAACCAACAAACTCTTAACACTCGACGACGACAAATAATTTATCGACCACCGGCTACTTTCCTCTCCTCCAAAGCGAAAATACAACATGTATAACGAACAGTATTGCCGCTACTCTATAACGCACATACAACTGTTCGTTACAACTTACAAAAAATCATTTAACGTACGACTTAACTACTGATTAAATAAAAAAGTTCAAACACAAACTTTTAATGCATATTGCACCCGAATGTACGCCCACTCAATATTACGCACACAATGACAACTTGCTACAACTTACGAACGAGTCTTCTAACAGCTGGCACGATAATTATGGCTGAAAAGACGGTTGCATCCCAATATAAATTTGCCGATTTACCAGCGTAATCATAAGCCAATTGAGAACAGCGTTACATCTTACGAACAGGAACAAGTCATTATCGTAATCGTAAATCTTTCTTTGAAAGACTTGGAGTGTAGTCTACAGCTTAAAGAGCGGGCAGCAAGCAGCATAGGGCCGATTTGATATGTCAAGTGATTTCTGAAGTACTGAGATAGAGTAGTTCGGGATGATGGTCATCTCGCAGGGCAAGCTCTACCGAATTTAAGTCCGAAATCTTTAAAGTAAAAATTATTAATTTATAATTAAATAATAATAATATAATATAGAATACTAAGTAATTATAATATATAATAAAGTAAAGTAATAATAATAACGTAAATAGTAATAATAATAAAGTGACTAATAAAGTGACTGATAAAGTGAACTGATAAAATGACCGATAAAATGACTGATAAAATGACTGATAAAGTGACTGATAAAGTGACTAAATAAAGTAATTAATATTATGATAATTCATGTGTCAAATAATGTTTGATATAGCTTTGTACTATCAACTAAATCCAACCGTCTTGTCAAATAATAATGGGCAAATAAATTAACCTGCAAGTCAACGAGCGATTACTGACTTTTAATAACTCATCAGCGCCACAAAAATCATGTGATATAACAAAGATCCTTCGAAGCAAGGTTCGATTAGTTTATGTAAACAATACCTATTACTATATAGCCGATTTGTTGTTTATAGACTACATTTAGAAAGAACCAATAATACCAAATTCATGTAACGTATTTGTGTAGAGTTTATTTTAAAATATAGTGTATAATAAATACAACGAACGGAAGACATGCATTCCAAAACGGCCATTTTCTACTATAAGGATCTCCTTGACACCAGCGTTAGACTTGAAACTGAGTCAAGATTTTGTCTGCTGAAACAGGCCATGTGTCACCGTTCGATGAAAGTGTTCGGTCATATACACGAGTTGCTAGAAAGTTTGCTTGTTTAGTCAATGATCACTGGTAAGTTTTATTGGATGTTCATTGGCGACCAAGACATTTACAGCGCCTATTTAACGAACAAGGAATATTGCGCAGTTGGAAACATACGCTTATTTCCGCACATAGAGAGATAATGCACTTAACAAGTCCGGAGAGTCCATTTACAAGTTATGATTTTTCCATTTGTATTAATAAGCACGACAAAAGCCAATGGTATTCCGATTAATTCTGCATGTACAACAATCATATCGTATACATCTTTATAACGATAACGGGAAGGATACAGAATAAGAAAATGAAAACAAAAGAAAAGGGTTCGGGAGTGAAAATGATGTAAATTGTATGTTGGCGTATCTGATAAAAATCAGAATCACATGCAGGTGTCAAATTAAAACTTGTATCTATGCAATGCATCAATATCAAGCGCTCCATTCATTTCGAATATGGAGAAACCCCATTCAAAAACACAATGATTTGATGTATTTTTGAAAGGGCGGGTGTATTGTGATATAATAATAGAACATGTCTCTTACAAGATACACTGCATACGGATACGGTATCCCGCATAAATTAATAGTGTACTTTAATATCCCGCATAAATTAGGGTTGCTAGAGTTGCTCAATGCAGGTGTACAAGATAAAGTATTTATGTATCACAGTATTAGTAAACATACATTATACTAACATACCATATTAATATACATACCATACGCACATAACCATACGTACATACACACAGCCCCCCTTGTCGTTTTTTTAATCCCTCGTATCCACATCCTGAACTCTAACTGTGATTTGGGCAGTTGTCTCTCATTCCCTTATCTATCTTTTCTCTTTCGATGTAGTTTTCATTACGCAGTCCTACCAAGTTCGTTCGACCCTTATCTCTCGCACAGTCCCACAAAACATTGACAAACGTTCCTGCGAATAGCAGACTTGTACATTTAAATCATTTATCGGAACTATCTTTAGCCCTCAACATCTCACAAGACTATACAAATGGGTAACCTGACCGCATGGATTACAATATCAAGGGGATATTAATGTCGATCGTCGGTCAATGATTCATGCAATATACGATAAAACAAACAGGCTGTCAGAACACAAAGCGGAAAGTTTGACACAACCGTCCGTTCCGTCCTAGAATTCTTTGTTCTACACTTGATTATTTTGATTGTCCCATTTACCGCATGAAATCTTCATCATGACACAGTGACCATCTATATATACATCTACGTCATCTGGCGCACGTTTTATTTTATCTTTGACATACACAATGCTACAATGGGATATATTTTTAAAAGCCTGCATACAGTGGGCAAATGTTTGACTGGGTTGTCGTTATTATTATCTCGTTATTATTATCTCGTTATCATTATCTCGTTATTATTATTCTCCTGTTACTCGTTTGTATAATAGCTTACTACTACCATATGAAACTCTCTTTTGTTGACGCTTTTTGTCTCCCGCAGTTGTTTGTTACGTATTTATTTGATAATCTCGCCAACCTGCGCATTTGTTGACGACTTTTGCATATTTCATTGTTTCAAATCGCATCCCCAATAAAGAATAGTTTATCTTATCTTTTTTTGCAAAAAGAAAAAAAGCGGTAGTTGCAGTCCAACCCTCCAATCAAACTAATACACAGCCACATGTTGGGGATAGATAACCATGAGAGTTCGCATGTGATTGGGAAGGTCCAAATGCGTTTCTGTCATATACCCAGCCCAATACACTTTATTTGTTAACAAGGTAACTCTTGATATTCGGAGTTGATAAGTGTTATCGAGTAGTTACACACATCTCAAACTAAACGTTTATTTTTAGTTTTGTTAAACCAACCTGAACTCTGTTTCCTCAAGATATAAATAGACCGGATGCGGGCGGTCAAAAATTTCCCATGAATCTCCGGAATTCCAATCTTTATTCGATTCTTTTTTGAACGGCTCTTCCCATCAGCATTATTGTTAATGTCAACTGGATTATAAACAAAATCCACCCGCTTTCAGTAAATAAAACCAAATCCTCGCCTAAACAAAATGTACGTCAGGTCCGTCTTCATCGCTCTTGTCATCTACACCACAATGCTTGTGACTTTTACTCAAGCTCGGCCAATCAATAACGAGTATCTGACGAAAGACAACATACATGTGAAATATCGGCGACATACTCTGAAAGCACTCGCATGGGAATTCCAAGGATGATTCTGATGATGATTTTTTTATGAACATTTTTGTTTCCGCTATTTAAACCTTTATGCGGCTGCGAGGAATACATAACGAAATAATAACGAAATGGGGAAAATGGGACTTTTTTTTTTTTTTGTAAAATATTTTTTTTTTATGTCTAATGAACATATGTATAAGTGAATGTAGCCAAAAGGCCGGAATTTTGTACTCTGTATTTGTAATCAAGTTTACATGTAATACAGTATCTGTTTATTTGCTTTACTAATGATAAAATGGTGTGATAAGAAATTCAGTAGTAACAGTAAATCAGTTAAAATAGTGATTCAGACCAAATCGTTTGCTCGAATAAAATCATGGAAGACATTCAACGTAAATGTTTTGCAATGTTTGACAGCCCAATCTTTATAATGCAATTTCAATATTCGTTTTTTCGCATGTTCGTAATCCCGTTAAAATAACACAGGTCATCAACCCTCAGTACATTACTGCTTTGTCAAGACAAGAACAAACGAGATTTATATAAGGCCTTTTGTTCTTTTTTCCCTTCGTTGCCTACTATTAATAATCTGCATAAATGTGATGGTGTTTAACGCCACATATTTGTTTCTACCGTCACACCAAAAGTTTCTAGAATTTACAAACAATGCCATAGACACAGGTTTTGATCCTGTTAAAAAACATGCAATGTTACAAAAAATTTAACTTTTTAGATAGTCATCGTATACACTATGAGAATTACTTATATGAACGAACAAACAATAGCAAATCTCCTATTGCTACGGGAAAAAATTCTGATTGGTTTTCCAATATGGTAAGATTATACACATAATATAAGTATCACGTGTTAGTCACTATAAATTAACAATTATATTACAAACCGATAGCATATTTGTTCGAGCTCCAGAAATTACCGTTATTCAAGACAATAACCTGCTCGGCTCAGTGACCAGGCTTCTCTTACCGCAAGTTTGAAGACGATTTGTTGCTGATTACACCACATGTTACGGAACTAGCGTTTTAGAAATCTCAATTAGCTTCTTGCTGTTGATACCAGTCATATATTATTCCAGAATGTAAATGCAAAGCAGGATACCATTATTGAACCTTAACTCAAGTATTCATTTTCATATGAGTAATTAAACAGATCAACTTTTTCCGGGTAAAATGACGAAAAAATACGCCAAATTAATCTATGAAAATCACCATGTTTATATTGTAGAATACCATAAATGGATATTACTATCATTTTGCCGAGTGGCATAACCATCCCATTTGACGATTCCCGTGGCTGTAGCACTGCGTACGCCACAAATGACAATGACAAAATCCCATTGTGTTGCAAGCCGTGATACAAAAGATTGATAACCTATATTTTATATATTCGACTGCGACATACCCCATTCGTTTGCCCTTCCCTCAGCATTCGATCAAACCTGGACATGTCTTCAAACGACGGAAGAACCTCAACGCGTTTAGGATTCGGCAAAACATTCAATCTTGACAGTTTAGGTCACGATGTACGTCGTAACCTAGTCAAGGTTGACCCTCGCTTGCCCGAAGATCTCAAGAATGTGGCTTTATTGCTCAAGGAAGAAAGAAACATTCTTTCCAGCTTACAGAACATTGCGCAAGAGAGGAAACAAGGCACGTATTGAAAAGTTTTTGTATACGATACCAATCTAATGCGAGTACCCTCCGCACACAAAATATAATGATGCGATCGTTTTCTATTCATCATCCACGCAGCAAGCATATGTTTGTACAATTGGGGAAAAGACAACTCGGAAGACGTTGCCGTACGTGTTTTGCATTTCTATTGACTATATGGAAGTATACTGTCTTACGATTATTTCTCGTGAATTGTAGGATATCACAGAAAAAATGTCAAATATAATGTCAAAGATGTCAGATGTCGAAACTGTGATGGCTGGTGAGTTATTGTGTGTTGTCATTTGCATAATATATTGTCATCGCAGACTCGATCATAACAACTAATATCAACCCGACCACAGAAAAATATGAAAAATACAGAAACCTACTCAAAGATATTCGCGAAGCTGAGCAACGCCTTCTTCCCGCAAAGGAGAGACGGCGCAAAATTAATGAAGAAATGTCAAAAACTATCAAAACACATCCAAGATCGCCACGTATTCGAGAATTAGAAGCCGAATTGGAGCAAGTGAATCGTGAAAACGCACCCACGGAAACGGATGTTGGCAATCTTGTAAGACGCAAGCTGAAGGAAGCATATACTCTGCTGCTTGATGCAACATTTGAAACTTCCGAGCGTTTGGCTATAATTGCTGGTTTTGGTGGTTATATCATTGGTCAACTTGATGCTAACCCTGTTCCCGCTGGTTCAGCAAGACCAAAGTATACTGGTGAGTTCAACAATGAGAATTTAATAGATGTGATTTATTTGATGCTGGCTATCTCTTCAGTGTTATTGCTGGACCATCTCTTTTCCCCTAGGGTACTTGTTATTACTTAAACACTCACTTTTATATGCTGATCTTAATAACGACATTTATATTTGTAGGCGATAAAGTTACTTCACAAATAGTTAAAGACTGTCAAATCCAGCTACATAATTGGCAGCCACCTAGCACCGATATTGGACCCCTTTTGCCAACGTTGACGAATACGGCACCGACACTATTAGCCGCTCAAAAAGAGGAATATGAAGCGAAATTGGCTCAAGTTAATGCAGAAATGACTTCTCTACGCGAAGCTCACGAGAAACAAATCCTCGAACAAACGGCCAAGTATGATGAACTCGCACAATCAACTTCTGCAAAGATTGACGAACTTACACGAACGACTTCTGCAAGAATTGAAGAACTTACATCAGAGCTTGAAAATCAAAAACAGGGATATAAAGCTCAATTGGATGACATGGCCAACGCATTGAGTTCGCAAAGAGAAGCATATGAAAAGCAGGTTGGCGATTTGACCAGCAAGTTAAGCGAACAGCAGAAAAAGAGCGAGCAAGACTTGGTGGAAATCCGGGGTGTCGTGGCGACTGAAAAACAAAAGAATGAAGTACAGCTACGTGAATACCAGACATTGTTGGCACAAAAGCACGAGTATGAGGTACAATTACGAGAGCGAGACAACTCCATTAACAAGCTTCAGAACGACATGAACGTTGTTGCAACAGAAAAGGGCAAACTGTCTCAACTTGTTAAAGATCTAGAAGAGACATTGAAATCAAAATCATCAACGCTAAGTCAAAAAGAAGAGAAGATTAACAAACTGGAAGACGACATTACCGGTATCAAGTCACAGCTTGCTGGATTGAAGATCGCCTCACCCGCTCCCGCACCTGCAAGTCCAGCGTCAGGGGCATCTACTTCGACAGTGCAGGGAGCAGCGCCTGCACGCTCTGCCACTGCTGCATCCGTAACTAGTTCCGTATCTTCTCCACCAGTCTCCGAGTCTTCGACTAATTCTGCAGCTTTGCCTCCCCCACTTTCACCGGCAAATCCACACCTTCCTCCTCCGGGTGGACCTTTCCAACAAAACATGTATGACCCGCAGGGACAACCATTTTACAATCAGCAAGGTTTCCAACCCCAACAACCATTTTATCAACCGCAAGGATATTACGGTCAACCTGGTCAACCCGGTCAACCCGGTCATCCTCAATATGCTTTTCAGGGACAGCCTGGCTTCAACCAAGGTCATCCTCCGCCCCCGCCATCACCGCAGCAGCAGCAACAGCAGCAACATCCACCATCATTTGTGGGTGGTTTCTATCTTGGACCTCCTGATGATGCTCCTCCCGCGTATGAACCTCCCGCAGACGGTGTTATACCTGGAGGAGACGAGAAAAAGAAATAATTTAAGTTCTATCATATTAATATGATTGCTGTTTGGTGATTGATAATTTATCCAAATTATTTAGTGTTCATATTTACTTTAATGTATCATACATATATTTGATTATACAAAATAAACTATTCGAATAATGCAAGTTAAAGTATTAATAATATTTTCATATCACTTTCGGATAGACATGCAACTGTGTTGTATGTTGGTTTTCGTTTTTATTTCTATGTCTTTTCTATTCGATAGAAAATGGTTGAAAAATGTCCTAGTGTATGAATCGGTGGCATAAATATGATCTATTTTTCCTCGGGCTTCTCATTGTCTAGTACAACAAAGCTCCTCGTAAGAAGATTAAACATGCTCCCAAAGAACAAAGCGATAACTGTACAAGTCAATGTTATTACGTTATATGGCATGCTAAAATCAGGCGTGGGAAGACTTATAAGAAGAGTTTCTGTGTATATCCTGATTGGAACGTAATGAATGCTAATAATCAAAAATCAAGGAATCGATGAGCTTTTTTAAATAATTGAAACAGGCATAACTAAAAGCTTTTTCATTGTCACGTACCCGTCCTGTGACTGCTGCTTGTAGAGTATAGAGTCCCATTTGGATTCAACCTTACTTAACGTTGTTATTACCGCCGACCCAACATCGAAACCTCGATTGGCATCTGGTGGATGTTCAGTGTATTTGATGAATGCTTTATCAAATTCTATCGACAAGGTTGTAATAGAGTCTGCCGGCAGCGAAATGTTGGCCTCCATTACTGACGGTCTCGATCGGTCTACGGCTGGTTGGTAGAATAGTTGCTTGATTGGATAAGCTGGTAGACAGCATAATTCACAAGCGTGAATTTTGCAATAAAGTTAATAAAAAGCAAAACGTGTAATCGCGTTGACGTGTTTACTGCTTAGGATACGTCCTTGTAGGACGCCTACTTACATGATCCTGATGATATCTCATTGCCATTCACTGTAACTTTGAGAGTGTGCATATACAGTCTCAGGTACCATGGAATTACGTCACAATACTGAATGGTTATCGAATTCGTAGGATTTCTGTTAAACAAGTTGACTTTAATTCCACCGTGTTCTTGCCCAAATCCTAAACATA